GCACCTTATAATTGTGTTTCACGCAAGCTTGTTAAAGGTTTTCTTTTAATTTTTTTGGTTACACTTTTGTTCATCATACGGCAGATACTTCTTATAAATACCAGAGACGTGTTGCAAATACACTACTTTTGATATTCATTGATTGAGATAGAATTTGTTTTTTTTTTTTTGTTGCGGTAACTCGGCGATGAATTGTGAATCATTGCAGAAAAACATGCGATTAATTGCATTTAAAAACTTTTTAATTTGTCATTCGTGGCAAGTTGGAAGTTTTCCAGAATGACCAAAGACGTCTTGTACAGTTACAGATTAGAAGAATCTTAAAGATAGACATCAACACAACAGTTTAGCCACAGGAAAAACACAGCATGGTTTTTATTTATGTGACTAGGTTAGAAGACCATGGAGGGTTGAGTGGCATCTAGCTGGTGAAGTTGCATATGCAACCAACGCGAACAACGCGGCTGTCTGTATGTGACAATCTGGGGAATGGAGAACAAGCTGTGAAGTGTGAAGGAGGAAACTATGGTGGCAGTGAACTCATGAAAGGGTGAGAAGCCTATCTACAGCCAGGTGTTTTTTTTTATAATCATATTCAATTTCTGCCAATGGATCCTCCCTAAATGTTACTCATTGGACCTTTTAAAGTTCCAAATAATGTTCAAAATACTTGTGCATGGTCACACAAACACAACAATAAAGAAGATGTAAAGAGTGCTTCAACAGTACTTACAGGCAGGGGCTTTACTGTCTGATATGCCGTGGTGTCCTCGTGTGATGCGGCCCTTGGTTTTGTTGCTGTGTTGATGCTCCACCTGAGATTAAAATAGAAGCTTGATGCTGATAGGTGAACGTTTTCTTTTGCTTTTTTTTTTGGCTTTTGCCAAACAAAGGAGTCGACACATGAATGATCACATTGGTAAGCATAAGGGTGAACATAGCCTCAACTGCTTTCTCTCCCCCACAGTGCTGTTCCGAAACACGGCGTACCGGGCGTAATGGTACGGGTCAAATCAGATGTCATTAACGTATTCACGTATTGTCTAATTTACATCGTCAAGCCTTTGAATCGGAGAAACTGGGTGCCGTGCTGATTCAAGCGATGCTCAATGTACAACTACATTTTTTCACTTTTCAAATACATGTTTTGCTTCAATGGATGCACTCACTAAATTCACCAATTGACCTTGGGTGAAAAAAGAACATCATATTCAACGCAACTAAAATGTATGAACTGAGCATAAGGAGGAAGTCTACTTTTTATTTTCTGCAATGAAAGTGGGTGTGCTCTAACCATCAGTGATATGTTCACTCTCAACCGTAACTGCACACTGTGCTATAAGCTGTGTTATATAGGAAACAAAAACAAAAAAGACAAAACATGAAAAGGAAAACATTTAAAATGTTAAACATCCATGGAGGCTTGTCAGTGCTAAGCTTCTTCATGTTCATATTTTCTATATATATTTAAAACTGATAGAATTTTATTGTCTTGTCATTTACCCAAAAGAAAAGTGTACATCAACGTCTCCATTATTTTATTTTTTTCTTCATTATCATTATTGCTTAAAGAAATATATTTGCAGTTCACATCTCAAAAAAGTTTAAAGTTAGATTTTTCAATCGTACTGAAACTAAAACCAGTTTTAAAAATGCTATATTCCTTTAATAGCATTGTGTTTTCTCTTGTGCATTTCTGGAAAGCAGCTTTCACAGAAACCCAATGTTCCTCTTATACATGATGACCCACCTCACAAGTTCATGCTTGTAACTAAAATTCACTCTATGGAGACATAAAACAGGAAAGCCTTTACCTTTTTTTTTCTCTAACATCCTTTTGTCCAACGTGTAGTTATATTACACAATTTGTGTTGTTTTCACAGAAAATGCACTCAATTAACAGGTTTCTAAATTGCTTAAAGTGTCTTTACATACGAGCTTAGAACCAAAATAATGGATCTTGACTTATTTACAAATGTTTGCACACAGCATGCCAGAAATCCTGAAAAATCTTTAATATAGTATGAAAGAAAGAAATGAGGAGGACTGACAACAGAACTGATGGTGCTGTCCTTTACTGAAGTAGAAGATCACTGATCACCTCCTCAATATGTGCTAATGCGGTCAAATACTGTAAATTGTATTAGAATAGGACTGAGCATTTGTATGTTTATTCCCTTCTGCTTTGTCCCTTTTTTACTGTATTTGTTGTTGATCACTATTTCATGTTAATTGACTCTATGTTCCTCTTGAATAGAAAATGTGCTAGTGTTTTAATAGTATGATATCAAATGTATATATCAAACAAGATAAAATTTGGTAAGAAAATGGAACTATAAAACTTAACACTTAACACTAAGAATACTTCTCAGAAAAGTTACCAAGTGAAAGATTATGCTGAGGCCCTGCATGGAGTCACAGGATCACTAAACTGTGGTATCTCTATTTAAGAGAAATGAAACTATGCTTGTAAGTCAGATCCAGCTTGAATTCAGAGAATTGTTATTAAGACAGACACGCAGGCAAGGCAACAGTTTTGCTTTGTTTTACTGTGAAGATTCAACCTTGTCTTAGCAACTACTGTATGTAATACTTGTGCTTTTCCTATTACATTATAAAGGGAAATATAGCTGTTTGACAGCCAGACACTAGAAGAACACACAATTCATAGGCAGATCAGGATGGACCTACAGGTCTGCATCCTGCAGGAGTATTAGCAACAAAAGCACTTTGGTTAGGTTTAAGGAAAGATTGTGGTTTTAGCTAAATGTAAATAAAATAAACATGTTGTGTCTCCTGCTTCAAGTCACAGTTTTCCTTACCTCAAAAGAAAGGTCTGCTGCAACAACAACTTATTACAAATTCAATCGCCAGACCAAAAATATATGACGACATTGCACCTTTCTAAAATCTCTGCATCGGTTACTTTTATCCTGTCTTATTCCATAATGCATTTTCTATCTTTAATGGCAAGAAATGCCTCACTATAGATCACAGAGAAGGTTTTTTTCTTTTCAATCCAGAGCTGGACATCTTGTCTTATGGTTTAGATGAAAATGTCCACCAGGTGTCTGTTAGCAAGAAAGAAAATCCACAGATCTAATACTGAGTAAGAACTCAGTATTTCACATACAACAAATGGACACTTACATATGGAAAGTTATCTTGTCTTTTCAACATATATACATACCCCCACTTAACTCGTCGTACATTGGTCTTTTCTTAATCTGTTTTCTTGTTTCTTACTGTTTTTATTCTTTTGTGCTGTAAACCGGTGTCCCTCCCCAAAGTGCCCCAGGAGAGGCGCCTTGTAAATAAAAAATGTATTATATACAAAATAAGATGAATAAAATAAGTTCTTTAGTGATAATATTGAAAATATTGGTCAGCATATAAACATCATATTCAAAGTCACAGTATGTACAGTAGCTGCTCTTTTTCTTGTTCAACCCAGCAGGAAATAAGACTCTTTACTCTGAAAGATGTCAAGTGTTTTTGAGTATTTTTATTTCACAACCAACTTCAGTTCATATGTTGCCAATGTCAGTACAGTTCAATAAAAAAGATAAATGTTTGTATCATACAAGCTGCAGGCTCCTACTTTTGGCCCATTTTCTGTATACCGCCACACACAGTATAAACACGACAGCGCACAGGACGAAGAGCAGGATGATACACAGCAGCTGCGGCAGAGAGAAGAGAGGAGGGAGCTCAGGTCTGACTGCGAGGAAGAAAAACAGAACATTCGAATTGGTTAACTAGCAGATCATAAAGACTGTCACTTGTTTAGCTTTCACCCAAATGTTACCAGAGTTAAGCACATAAGCCCTGTGATTTCTAAATGGAACACTTGAATTTTGTGAGGTCTGATTCAAATAAACAGCATCCTCTTCTGGAAGATATATAAATAGATATTATAAAGGTCAGAAGGGAACCATCGATGAAAGTATCTGTCTATCTATATGTCATTTCATTTCTGTATTTAAATATGTTTGATTGTGTTATTTCGCCCCCTGGTGCCAAAGCTCATTATCACAAGCTCTGATTTTGTGCCACATTTTTGGAACAAAAACCCTGTAATGTAGGATGGTTAGCTCAAATGGTTGGAGGGTGGTGGTATGGTCATGTTCAATCCTCATATTGGCCAATGATGGTAATTTAACAAGTGCTTTCAAATTTAAGTTGTTCCCCCTCCAGCGGTGCCTACCTAGGAGATGGTCCTGTGGCCTGACTGAACATCCAAAACAGACTCAATTTTGATATAAAGTTCACGTAAAGTTCATATTCTTTGTGTTCATGTAGCCTAATAGACAAGCTCTCTGACTTTAGATCAGAAGTTTGAGGGTTCATGTCCTTTTGTGGTTGAAAGATCTAATCGGTTTACATTGCTGCCAATTTCAGCACAACTACACTTAAACTTTGAAAAGTACGTTTTAGAATTGATACAAAGCCATTCTGTTTTACAGAATGTGTTACGTGAATGCAAGCTTACATATACACACTGTATGCACAACATCATTGTCACCTTTAACAGCCAGCCAGCTCTGTCGTGACTCTCCTTTCGTGGGGTGTTCACACTTGTAGAAACCTTCGTCAGACACGGACACCGCAGAGATGGTCATGCTTCCTGCAGGTTGAGCCCCGATGAAAACACCGTCTTTGTAGAACTTTGCAGAGAAATCAGAAGTGGCGCTGATGTTCTCTTTTTCTTTATAGGAACAGAGAAGTGTTACTTTATCGCCTTCTGTCACAGGAAGTGCAGGGCTCTGCAGGATCACAACACCGTCTGAAAAACAAACCATGTTGTCGTTGTTCAAGTTCTCTTTTATGAAAATGAATAACACCTAAAAGTATCAAATGAACTTTTTCTGTTCACTGTCAAACATGTGCAGCATTAAAGTCAGCATCGAATATAAATACACATTGGACATTTAGTGTTACCAGTCACAGTGATGTTGATGGTGTTGCTGCACTCCCCCCGCTCAGACTCGCACCAGTACACTCCAGTGTCTGATGGATAGGCATCGTCAATGACACAGAAGGTCTCATTTGGTCTTCCCCAGCCAGAGCTGCACAGATCAGAAGTCCAAAAGGATGTGTTCCTCCTGAATATCCAGCCACTAGAGGTTCCCGTCACTTCACAGGTCAGTGTGATGGTGTCATACCAAAAGAACTGAGACCTGTTGGGATGGATGTTCAGTGTGGCTGAAACAGAAGAAAGATCTGATTTACCAGCAATCCTGTTACCAACAGTTGCAGTAAGTCTGTAGCAGAATAGTTACAGAATAACTAAAACTACAACAGGGACAGCAAGATTAATATAGCAATATAATACAGTTTTATGATGAGATTATAGATGTTATAGTGTAAAATCTAGCAAATATTAAAAAATAGAAACACTACATTACTGTTGAATTCATCTTTTAGCAAAAAACACAAATAATTTCTACTTAATGCTACTAAAGTGCCCACAATTTTTCTATTCAACACATCACAGCTGCACTTAGTTGTGACTAAAATGCGACCAAATATTATATTAGCTTGTATAACATATGTTGTTTGTATACCTGGGGTCTTGTAACGAAAATAATTTCCCCCTGGGATTATTAAAGTATTTCTGATTCTGATATTAGCAATTTAACTGAAAGGCTCTCATTATATACAGTCTAGACTTCACTTTAACTATACTTAATGCCTTAGCATACCTTAACAGCATGAATCAATTATTCTTCTTTCTAACTGTAAATTGTTTGTATGTTTGAAACAGAACAAGTAAAACTGAAATAAGACAACTGTTTTTGCAAATCAGGATGTACTGTAGCCTATGCAGAGCTATAAAAGGAGAAGATCAGTACACAAAAGCAGTACATTATAGTCACAGAAAACTGGAGGGAACTAACTGCAAACTATGATTTTTAGGAATAATAAAATAAGCCTAAGTCTAAACTGCCACAGCCAAAATCTGCCATAAATTAACCGGTGGATGAAGGTGACTACTTCCCATTATTCAAATCACAACACAACTACATTAACATTTGAAAGAAAAGATTTGAAAAGGCTTTAAACAGGAAAAATAGAAAAAAAGGAACATTTCTTACAGAGGATTAGGCAGAGTGACGGGATCTCCATTCTGTCTCGATGTGTTCTGTCTTCTACTCCTCTTCAGGTAGCAGCAGTGAGCCCACATCCTGACCTCAGAAAATCATCAAAAAACTGCTAAACACAGCAGAAGTGAAGAGCTAGACCTGTGTGGTGTGGAACAAAATCATTTCCTCCATAGCTGAAGTTAAAATTGTGCCTGCTACTTTGCTGTGTCCTGTAAATCAGTTAAATGTGATTAAAAGGTCAATTAAACCTGCCGAAGACCTTATTTACCGGAGGTTTAAGGTTGTATATTTTAGTGTAAGAGCAAATATAGCTGTACAGCCAGTAATTTATAAAGAGAAAAGTCATTACATCTCAATTAATTTTAAATGCTAGAAAAAGGGGTTGCGTCTCATGCCTGCAGACATGCAGTAAGTTTGTCAGTAATGTAGTAGGAAAAAACTACAGGAAAAAACAGACAAAGACAGGAAGTGAAGTAAAACAAGACACAAGAAACAAAATTACAAAATAAAACAGGAAATAACTAGAGAAAAACCCCAAAACATTGACACTTGAAGGAAACTGACATTCAAAAGAGGGATCCAAATTACACTAATGACATTCTCCTACACAGACATGTAGCCAGATCAGGTAAAAAAAATTAAAATCCTTCTCAAACCAGGAAATACATAAACATAAAAACACATAAAAAGGAACAGGAAATAGTCTGCTTACAATTCCTCTAAGTCACTCGATTTACACAAATGTCTTGCAGTTACTGAGTTCACTGTTTGGGTTCATTGTACAGTTTTGAATATGATAAGAAATATCCACAAAATATGTCACTTTAGTAGGGGTTGTCAGTTTACTAAATGATAGAAAAGGGGTCACTTAAGGAAAAACGTTAAATGTGAGTACTTAAAAGGCACTGAGACTTGAGCTGATTAAATAAATATATTGACGAAAGAAAAGTTTCGAATATAATGTGGTGTAAGAATGAAGTTAATGAAATGAAAGAAAATGGCAGGTCATATGCAGTAGTAGTTTTAATGTAGAATTTACTTCTAAAACAATTAATTCTGATGGATCAACCTAATAAAAGGAACTAAAACTATAAACAACCCCACCCATCAAATCATAAGTGCTTTAACTTACATGTGATATGTTTGAAATCAACATTATGCACTTAATAGGCAGAATAAGTATAGAAATTCACAGTAACAAGAATTCATATTAAACTAATAACATAATTTGTCTTTTTCACATGAATGAATCTAAATAAAAGAGCAAAAACCAGAGACGTGAATCCATTTAAGTGCATATAGACTGGTGAAAATGTGATATAATTTATATATACCTTTTCTACCAACCCCTGACCACTCAAGTTTTAATGGCTTATGGGTACCAAACATTTTGTAAACATCTGTAATGCCAACTTTTTAGGACAAAAACCAAACAAACTCCCATCCAACTTACAGCTGTAAGTGGTTCACGTCAGATTTTAGTTTCACCT